GATAGATAGATAGATAGATAGATAGATAGATAGATAGATAGATAGATAGATAGATAGATAGATAGATAGATATTCAGGACCACAGAGCTAAAACTATGATGTTAGCATATTCCCTTTCCTCTGAAATAGCATTCATCCTGAGATCTGCACGACTCCAACTCTGGTGGGTTTTAAGAGGCCAAACCCAGAGAAATGAATGCCTTCCATTTCGTCTTAGGAATGCCAACAGTAGCTATTTCAAACCAGCTTCAATATTTCTCAAGCGAGGAAGGAAGGATGAGCTATGCCGATGTGTGGTTAGAGAATCTCCTAGCAGGAGATATCTAGAGGAGATACACAGGAAGCAATCATTAAAATGCTTATTGTCCTTCAAGTGTCATTTTATAAGTCTTAATCCCTTGCCCAAGGCATCTTGCATCAAGCAGAGAATATATGCCAGTGTCATCAATGGGCACGTGCCAGGATGTCTCTCAATCCGAGAAGGCAGTTGGCCATCCAAAGAGGGACAGCAGGAAGGAGGAGGAGGAGGAGGAGGAGGAGGAGGAGGAGGAGGAGGAGGAGGAGGAGGAGGAGGAGGAGAAGGAGAAGGAGGAGGAGGAAGAGAAGGAGAAGGAGAAGGAGAAGGAGAAGAAGGAGAAGAAGAGGCATTGTGAGTTACATCATTGAAGGAAAGACATTTCCCCTTCCACCTCTCCATAACAGGACATTGTTAAAATGCATCCCACCCAACAAAACAAGATGACGTCTGAGAACTCCCTTCCTCCCTTTTGAAAAGAATTATACAGAATCCGAATGCTCTTATCAACAATTGTGACAATCCCGCCTTCACAACCCAGGGAAGCAAACAATTAAAAGTAATTTGGTGGGGCACAGCAAGGCGTCAACTCACACTGTTGCGTTTGGGAGGGGGAAAATATTCTCAATCCCTGCCCTCAATGTGCTATAAAAATGCACACAGCACACAACGCGGTATGAAGCTTCTTCTTGAGATACATCCTCACTTAAGATAACCAGGTAAGTCTCAAAAGGGAGCTTCTAAAAATGCCATTTGGGGCTGTTTTTTATTTCCTGGGAAAGCAGGGAGATGAGTTCAGATCTGGAATTGCAACCAGCCTCCAAGGAGGGGATCTGGTGGGTTCAAAATTTTGGGTAACACCAACATTTTACCAGCTAGATAAGGTAAAAATAAAGGTTCCTC